GAATGGAGCCGCAGAAGACATCCATGCCAACGCGGAGAACGCAGGCGGAGACCAGAAGGAAGAAGAGGAGGGTGGCTGAGACCACCAAGGAAGTCTTGATCCAGGGGTGGGTCCTGGGGGAGAGCAGGAGAAGCCGCATCAGGACCAGGATGCCCCCCTGGCACCAGTGGTCCGCCCCCCCCGGACGCTCACTCACAAGTGTCCGTCCCTATAGCACATGCTGTAGATGCCGCGGAGCAGGGCGACCACGGTGAAGATGGCCGTCAGCGCGGAGATGGCGGAGATGAAGTAGCAAAGCGAGGGAGGGCTGGAACTCACGAGGCTCAGCGTCCCGTTCGCGTTGTAGCGCACTGACCCGTATAGAATGCACTGGCCGCCAAAGGCCCCCTGGGAAAGAAGGGGGGAGCAGCAGAGGGGTGACTGGTCTGCTGGCCAGAAACAGTGAGACAACCTTCCCTGCCCTGGCGCTGAGCACCTGTCGCTGTGGAGGATGGGATCCACCCCCCAACACCAGCTTGAAGGGTGCAATGGGGAATGGCTGGAGGTGGCTGCTCCATAGATTTTTTTCTTTTTCCTATTTTTTGCCCTGCCTTTATTATTTTTATTAATAACTCAAAGTAGTGAGCATATCCGTCAGACCTTCCTCCTCCTATTTTTCCCCATCACAACAACCCTGTGAGGTGGGCTGAGAGGGAGAGCTGGCCCAAAGTCACCCGTGGGCCGGCGTTCATGCCTATGGTGGGACTAGAACTCACAGCCTCCTGGTGATAGAGGCAAAGTTACCCAGCCGGCTTTCAAGGCCAAAGCGGCACCAGAACCCACCATCTCCTTGGGACTGGCTCCAAATCACCCAGCCAGCTTCATGGCTAAGGCAGGATTAGAACTCCCTGCCTCAGCGCTTAGCTGGCTGAGGAATTCTGGGAGTTGAAGTCCACAAGTCCTAAAGTTGCCAAGGTTGGAGACCCCTGCTCCGGTCTAGGCAAAAGAAAGCCTGGATTTTGAACCACCCCACCCACCTCTGAAGGCGCTTAAAAGAGGCAACGTTATATTTTCTCCAGACTTGAACCCAGAGCCGCTGCCTGTCTTTCCCGTGTCAAGTTCTTCTGGCCTCTGGACCAGACCTCACGGGCCGGCCTGAAAGAAATCCCCCCTTCCCCATTGGAGCCCCTGGAGGCTAGAGTCCTCGACTTATGACCACAGCTGACTCCAAAACAGTGTTTCTCCACCTTGACCATTTTAAGGCCTGTGGACTTCAACTCCCAGAATTCCACACAGCATGCTGGCTGTGGAATTCTGGGAGTTGAAGTCCACATGCCTTAAAATGGTCAAGGTTGAGAAACACTGCTCCAAAATTTCCCCGGCTAAGCAAGACCGCTGTTAAGCGAGTTTTGCCCCCATTTTACAACCTTTCTGGCCACCGTGGCTAAGTGCCCCACGGCGACGATTGCACAGCCGCTAAGCGAACCTGGCTCCCCCGTTGCTTTGTTCGGCGGGAGGGGGCCGACGGGACAGTCCCGCCAGGGGTTGAATTTTCATCACGTGACCGCGGAGAGGTCGTAAGCGCGAAGAACGGTCCCACGCGCCTTTCTTTCGGGGCCCTCGTGACTTCCCACGGTCACTAACCGAGCGGGTCTAAGGCGGGAACCGGCGGCAGCTCAGCGAGTGCCGCCTCTTCGGGGCACCGTCGCGTCCCCGCCGGGCGGGAAGGAGAGCCCCCCTGCCCGGCCACGGGGCGCCGCCGCCCGGAGGAGCCCGGCCCGAGCTGGACGTAGCGGCGGGGCCGGACCCCCGCGCAGGCCTTCCAGCCTCCCCACCCCGGGGCTCACCTGGGCGAGGGCCAGGGCGGCGGCGCAGCCGAGGGCGGCGAGCAGGGCGGCGGCGTTCAGCGCCAGCTCCAGCAGCAGCCGGCCGGACGGGCGCGCCATCTTCGGGCTGGGAGCCGGGCCAGCCGCCGCCCCGCCCGCCCGCCGCGTCACCCGCGCCCGGGCCGAAGCAGGGGGTGGCGGAGCCCGCCTGCCCCGCGCCTCTGATCCGCTGGGCGCGTCGGAGGAACCCGGGTCGGCTGACCCGACTGGACTCCACCTACCCTGCTTGAACAAACCAGGGGTTGCCAAACGAACCTGCTTGAACAAACCAGGGGTTGCCAAACTACCCTGCTTGAACAAACCAGGGTTTGCCAAACTACCCTGCTTGAACAAACCAGGGTTTGCCAAACTACCCTGCTTGAACAAACCAGGGTTTGGTAAACGAACCTGCTTGAACAAACCAGGGTTTGCCAAACTACTCTGCTTGAACAAACTAGGGTTTGCCAAACTACCCTGCTTGAACAAACCAGGGTTTGGTAAATGAACCTGCTTGAACAAACCAGGGTTTGCCAAACTACCCTGCTTGAACAAACTAGGGTTTGCCAAACTACCCTGCTTGAACTAGGGTTTGCCAAACTACCCTGCTTGAACAAACCAGGGTTTGCCAAACTACCCTGCTTGAACAAACCAGGGTTTGGTAAACGAACTTGCTTGAACAAACCAGGGTTTGCCAAACTACCCTGCTTGAACAAACTAGGGTTTGCCAAACTACCCTGCTTGAACAAACCAGGGTTTGGTAAACGAACCTGCTTAAACCATGGATTGGAAAAAAGCCCTTGCTTAAACAAACCAGGGTTTGGCAAAATGCCTTGCATGAACAAAGCAGAGGTTAGCAGGGGAGGCCCAGCCTGAGCTTACCCAAAGGGGGCGAGTGGAGGTGGGTGGGTGGCCAACCCTGGTGAGACCATGCAACTCTTGGAGTAGCCTAGCTGCTTTTATTTATTTATGAGACTTTATTTATTGATGAGACTTATATACCGCTTTAAGTGTGAGCACTCTCTAAGCAGTGTACACCAGTAAGCAACGTATATATATATTTACATTGCCCCCAACTATCTGGGTCCTCATTTGACCTACCCCGGAAGGATGGAAGGCTGAGTCAACCTTGAGCCGGTGAGATTTGAACCGCTGACCTGCTGAACACAGTCAGCTAAAGTGGCCTGCAGTACTGCACTGTAACTGCTACGCCACCTCGGCTCTTTTTTTAGCCCGAAAAATCCCATTTTGTTGCAAAAAAAAGCTTCGTTTTGCTCGCTTCTGTTCTTCTGATCTTTTCCCTTCGAACCGAACCGCCGTTGCCCTAACATTCCCAAAAGGGTCCCTGAAAGGCTTATCGCAAAACTCCCACCAGGCCAGGGGCTGAGCTCCCGCCTTCTCTTGCAGATACACTGGCTAGAAAGCCTTTTGCGCATCCCGAATCACCAGCCTCCTCAGTCAGGGACAGAAGAGCGAGGGGCTCTGATCAGGAACCCAGCAGCTGGGAAGGGCGTCTTTGCTGGAGGTATATTCCTTATTTATGGCTCCTTGCAAATGGCTCGCTAGCGGGCCGTGACTTAGTTTCGCAATAGTTTTGCAAATGTGCATAAAACCTTTGCCAATTTTGTTGGAATATTCATGAGCAGGAAGAGTCATGTGCTAACTCAGTCAGCCCATATGGAGAAAGTGCTACTGAGTCTGTGCAAAAAAAGAGTATTGAGTTAGGACAGTGATTCTCAACCTTTTTAATGCCGCTACCCCCAACTGGTTGTAAGTCGAGGACTACTCAACCGGTCGTAAGTCGAGGACTACTCAGCTGATGCAGCACCGTTTGAAGAATGGGACTTTTGGTGGGCTCAGCAGGGCAGAGACAGCCTGGACAATTCCTATTGGCTTTGGAAAGCCAATAGAATGAGACTCTATTCAAGAGAGTCTATTCTATTGGCTTTCCAAAGCCAATAGAATAAAAGGGAGGAGCACAGCTAAGGAAAAGGGGAAAAAAAATGGCGGACTGCGTTGTTTGGCGACCCCCGTGAAATGGTTGTTCGACCCCAAATGGGGTCCCAACCCACAGGTTGAGAACCGCTGATTTAGGAGCTGGATTTCCAGTCTCAGGTTTGTCTCTGTATCTCTCTGTAAGAAGTCTTCAATTGAGCTATGTGGCTGTAAAGAAGAATGTATGGTATTGTAAATATTTTTATATGAATATAAAGAAGTTATTTTGAATCGGCTAAATGCAGTCAACTGTGAGAGCTTCTGGTTTATTTTTTCACCAATAGAGAAATTAAAATTCTCCAACAAATTTGCCAATATTGGGAGCTCACAATTCCTAATTTAGTCCAGAGAATAACACATCTCTTGGCGTTGCATTGAATAAAGAGGTTGCAATTTATATAAGATTTGTAGCTCAGGGTTGAACTCAGGTCCTGGCTGCTCTCTCAGCTTGGTGGTTTTCTTGCAGATGTTTCATGACCTCACTAGGGAGCATCACCAATGCCACAAGCGAGGGGGGGTTGTGGAGCAGAGGAGGCGGCTATGGGCTCCTTGGTGCTCTCTGAGTTTGGCTATTTGCTTGCAGATGTTTCGTTACCCAACTAGGTAACATCAGCAAGAAAACATCTGCAAGAAAACTACCAAGCTGAGAAAGCACCAAGGACCCCACACGTTGCAATTTCCCAGCTTGTGTGATAAATTGGATACTCAGCCCCAGGAAAAATCAAATCCAGCACTTGGCTGGGCCAGTTCATGGTTTGACCACCCAAGTGCCTTTGCTGCCCTCAATTTTTCTCAACCTTAGCAACTTTAAGCTGGGAGGATTTTAACTCCCAGAATTCCCCAGCTTTGTTGGGTAAAAGGACTATGTTTGCAGAACAGAGAGATCTACAAGCTACCCCATCTGTATTTTAGCCTAGGAGACAGTCTGGAATATATTCTAACTGGGTCCCTTAAATTCCCAGGCAGCAAGGCCAGTCCATTTTAGTGGCATCTCCTGCAAACAGGGAAGAGCGACACAAAAGGAGAAACCCACCTCCCACCCCACCCCCAAGCCTTTTTCTGGCACAAACAGGAAGTTCAATTTCTTTTATTTTTCTTTGCAAAACCATATTCTGTGTTCATTTGAAGAAACCGTTTCCGGTTTTCAACTGGAGGAGGAAACACTTTCAAATGATTTCTACTGTTTATTTTTATTGTATTTTCCAAACAGATCAAGGATTGGCCTTGGCTCATCCACTGCTCCTTCCTGCCCCCCCCCAAAAAAAACACACAATTTTCAGAATCATTATTTCAGACAATGTTCAACTCTTCCTCCAATGTTAGAGGCTGAAATCCAAGCATAAATTCAGGAAATATTTTTTTTTTATCTCTGAGCAGAAAGGAAAAAGCAAAACTGGTGCTGTTTTGAATCAGGTTTTTTTTAAGGGGGGGGGTTAAAATCAGCAGAGAGCCCCCCTACTTCAACTGGGTCTGTCTTCAAGTTTTTCAAGTCGGTTCAGCTTAGCTAAATGTTTCCATTAGCAAAACACACATATTTTCTGTCCCTTTAAAAAAACACCCAAAGCCAATTCTTCTGCTTTCTCTCTTTCTGCCCACAGAAATTCAAAGAGTGACCCACACCTCCAACAAAAATCCTGCCTCTCCCTCTTTTGCAGGTTGGGCTTCTGCTCAAAGCAGAGTTAGGGGTTTGGGGGGAGGGTTGCGTGCCAATCTTACTGTTCCATTTTATTACAAAATTGAGAGAAGTACAGAAAAGCCCTTGGCTGGGGAATTCAAAAGAGCTGGCTTGCTCCAACTCCTGGATGGAAGTGGCCCCAGGACAGTTGGGAAAAGATTTCTGATGTGGGGCACCAGGCGGTCCCAAATGATTGGATTTTCCCACTGAGAAAAGACCCATTGCTCAGAGAGGTAAGTAGAGGGAATAGTCAGAGTGGCCCCACTTTTTGACAGGCTTGCTGGTCCGGCCAATCATGGGCAGCTTCTGGGCGTAGCGCGAAACATGGGTGGGTCCGTGGTGCTGCAGGAAACAGGTCTGGAAGAGCCGCCCTTGGCACCGGCGGTCCACCTGGCGCCCCGCGATCACGAAACTGAAGTGGGGCGCCCCCTGCAGGGAAAACCGGCACTTCTGGAAGACGTCCCGGGCGACAGGCCGATGGCTCTGCTGGCGCAGGGCGCTGCGGGAACGAGCCAGGCTGGCTGAACGGTGCAAGGCCGGCCGACCGGCCGAAAAGTCCGCACGGGGGCTCTCCTCCTCCCGAGGACTGACAGTGGCGCTGGCGGTCAGCTGGGGCATCTTGCGCACGGCCTCCCCGGTGCCAAAGGCTGGCTGCTCCTTCTTGGTGTCGGCGGTCTTGGGCGGGCTGGCCGGCATCGGCCCGGCCGGGCACAGCCCCGAGCCGGTGCCAAAGCGGGTGGCCAGGCTGTCCCCAAAGAAGTAGTAGAGCTCCTGGTAAATCTCGTTGAGCGAGATGGCCGGGGGGCTGGCGGGGATGCCCACCCCGGCCTGGGGGCCCCCGCTGCCCAGCTGCAGCAAGTGGCTGGCGATGCCAAAGCCAAACTCCACCTGGGGGTCCTGGAGGGGGCTGAGCCAAGGCGCCCCGTCCCGCGGGCGCCCCTCGGGACCCTCCGCCTGGACGGGCACCGAGAGCGACTGGGCTTTCATCTTGAGGAGTCGCTCGACGGCCACCTGAGGGAGGAACCGGAACTGTTAGGATGCTGCGTCTCACCTGGGGGGATCAGGATGGGTTTCCAGGGGATCAGCCAGGAACGTTCCCTCCACTGGCAGGGACACCCAGGGTGGGTATAACCAGAAACCATAACACAGGCGGTCCTACGACCACAGCTGAGCCCAAAAATTCTTTTGCTAAGCAAGACAGTTCTTAAGTGAGTTGTGCCCCATTTTACAAGATAGTTGTTAAATGTTGCTAAGTTAGTAACATAGTTAAGCGAATCTGATTTCCCCATCGACTTCGCTTAGCAGAAGGTCGCAAAAGGGGATCACGTGACCCCAGGACGCGGCGACCGTCATAACTATGAGCCAGTTGCCAAGTGCCTGAATGTTGACCACATGACCCTGGGGATGCTGCAATGGTCGTAAGTGTGAAAAATAGCCATAAGTCACTTTTTTCAGGGCCGCTGTAACTTTGAACAGTCACCAAACTAATGGTTTAAGTTGGGAAGGACATGCAATCATCTAACTCCAGTAACCAATTCTCAAGACAGCCAGTTTTTTGCGGTTCTGTTAAAAATATGGCGTGGGCTGGTCAGAATTTAAAGTGGCCGCCGATTCCTTTTACGGATGCATCCTTCCTTCCCTTGCCCGGATCGAGCACACAAGCAGTAGCGGACATTTTGGGCTCAACTGTGGTGATAAGTCGAGGACTTCCTGCATGACAGTTGCAGCATCCCTGTGGTCACGTGTTCGGACTCCGGACCCTCGGCCACCTTAGGGCAGCTGCCATGACCTGGCCTCACAGGGGAGCCATTTACAACCAGCTGGCTTCCGACAAAGCCAGTGAAGGGAGCCAGACTTGCTTAATGGCCATAGGGGAAAAAAAAGGCTGTAAAATCAGGGGTGACTCCCGTAATAATTGTTATGGCTGAGCAAGGGAAGTTCTGGTCACAAATGTTGGGAATTGAGGACCACCTGCAAAAGCTGCAGTTCTTGGCTTAACCCTCTCAAGACCCTCCGGCTGGAGTTGCCGCCGTGCCAGAGAGAGGCCCATCAGGACTTCAAAGGGTCACTAACCGAACGGGCGTAAGTCAAGGACTGCCTGTAAATATTGCAGTTCTTGCCTGCTCAGAAATCCCCCCCGGCTGATGTCGCCACTGTGCCAGAGAGAGGCCCATCAGGACTTGGAACGGTCACTTGGCTTAACCCTCTGGCTGGAGTTGCCCCCGTGCCGGACAGACTCACCAGGATGGCCCCGTAGACCTTGTGTCCATCAGCCTTGACCTGAGCGTTGGACACCGAATAATCGTCCAGCACCACCTGCAGGTTGGACCAGTAGGTGGAGAGGTGGGGATAGAGGACCCGCTGCACCGCCTGAGGGAGAGAGGCCGTAAGAGATCGGCACGCACCGGGAGGCACCCTGAAGCCACAAATGGGGCAAGCTGCAACTTACCTCCCACCCCAAGGCATGCAGCCCCACCACGGCCCCATAGTGTGAGCAGAGGGGGCGGACGGGGTCAGCCAGCACCTTCTGGAGAGTGAGGAGGATCTGATGATACAAGCTGCTCACCAGATCCCCGTGGGTCCTGGGAGAGTGGAAAGAAAATTGAAGCAATGTCATCTGTTTTGAACTAACAATCATGGCTGGAGACCTCTCTATCAATGAATTGGCGCACAGCCTTAAACCAGGGTTTCTCGACTTGGTGGCTTGAACAGATGTGGAGTTCAGCTCCCAGAATTCCCCAGCCAGGCCTCCTCAGCTTCCCAATTGCCCAGCCTTCTCAGCTGTGTTTTCTCAGCCTTGGCCACTTTAAGACGCATGGACTTCAATCCCCAGAATTCCCCAGATCCTTGGTGCGGGTCCTTGGTGCTCTCTGAGCTTGGTTATTGTCTCGAAGACATTTCATCACCAAACTAGGTAACATCATCAGTGCTAGGATTGCTGTAACTATATATTTGTAAGTATCACTGCCTTAAACTATAAATTGCTAAAATCTCCCCGGGGTGGATTTGCACAGCCACCATATTTCCGCATTTGTCACTAGTTGAATTCCTTGGGCCATTTAAGTTATGAGATACTGAATCAAAAGCCACCTTTTGAAATTATGGCTCAGGGTAACGTATGACTCCAGCCTTAGTCTTGACACCAATCAGTGGTTGCCCACAGCCTCTGGCCCAAGAAATCTCCCCAAAAAGAGAATAACTAAATTCATATTTGCTTGCAAAATTTCATACACTGATATTTCCCTGTTGAGTCATGAAACGTCTGGATTAAAACATTCCAGTTCAGAGAGCACCAAGGACTCCATAGCAGTTTTCATCCCTCCCCCCCCCCAATTCTGCACACACCTCTCCCTTCTAGCACTGATGAAGTTATCTAGTTGGGTAATGAAACGTCTGCAAAAAAAACAACCTAGTGGAGAGAGCACCAAGGACCCTACAAATAAGAGTGAATTGAATGGACTTGAGGACAGTGATAGTGGGCATATTGTTGAAAGAAATTTAAAGCATGTTGTTTGCAAGCCCTATTCCTTTCCAGCACTGATGATATAACCTAGTTGGGTGATGAAATGTCTACATGAAAACAAGGTCAACCCTGAGCTACAGAGAATCTCCTCCTATAGAAATTTCCTGTTACTTTGATCAGGTTCTCTTCCAGTTTTGATTTTAATTCTACTGACGCCTCCCGCCTCCGGGGTCTCGGGCCACCAATGACGAGCCTGGGGCTCCGAGGCAGGGGCCACTGAATCAAGCCGCTCTGGCCTGCAAAGCTCCTGTTTGTTCCATAGGACAGGGGGGAGACAAGGCCCAGAGAGGCCTATCATCTGGGAGACGTTACCGGAAGATCTGGCCCAGGAGGAGGGCTGCATAGTCGCGCAGGGTCCAGTGGTCGTTCAGGGGGTTGATGGAGGCTGCCAAAGGCTCCAGGACACAGTACATGACGCTGGCAATGAGGCTTTTGACGTAAGACCCCAGGCACAAGTAGGGGTTCTGGATGAGGCTCTTGGCCATATGCAGAAGGCGGTTGAGCTGCTCCAGGTCGTGGCTCACCGACTTGACCTGCGGAGGAAGCCAGAGGGCAAACATCTCACCCAAGGCAGACCCCAGCCTTCCTGAAGTGGTCCTTCCTATTAGGTTGTGTGAAGGATAACGGTCTGAAAACCATGACCTGGGCTCCTTCTGATGCCGTCATGTGGCTGGCTGTCCTTCTGCTTGATGTGTTGGGCGAAACCATCATCAGAGGAACAGCTTTTCTCCAGAAGCTGAAGGTGCTCCATCACTAGGCTTTTTAAGAAGAGACTAGACAGCCATTTGTCCAAAATGGATCAAGGTTGGACTAGAAGACCTCCAAGATCCCTTTCCAACTCTCTATTCTGTAATGGCGCTTTAGTTAATAAACCATGAAAAGCAATGGTTTCTACTCATGAGTTTTGGCCGTGGCAAGTCCTCGTGTTATGACAGTGTTTCTCAACCTTGACAATTTTAAGGCATGTGGACTTCAACTCCCAGAATTCCACAGCCAGCAATGCTGGCTGTGGAATTCTGGGAGTTGAAGTCCACATGCCTTAAAATTGTCAAGATTGAGAAACACTGTGTTATGAGCATAATGGAGCCTGCCTCCCACAGTCGTAACTCGTGACGGTCGTAACGCGGGTCGATCACTAAATATCCCTGGGTTTTATTTCACATTATAAAATGTTAGCCGCCCAGAGTCACCTTGTGGAGAAATGGGTAGCAAACAAATTTAATAAATAAATAAGTAAATAAAACCACAAAATGATGCTTTGGAAATCTGCCCTACAGGACAGGGAGGATTGGGGTAGATTAAACTGTCTTAATTATTTATTTATCAAATTCATTGCAAGGGTGATCAAGAGGAATGTAGCATTTTTCTCCCAGATGGGTTTTGTAGGAGGGGGAATAAAAAAAAAAATCAACATTCATTTCTGCTGTATCTGGTTGTTAAAACAGGTATAATTGAACCATTAAAACAATTTAAATACAAAAGTAACAACGAAGGAGGTTGCGCGCTATTGATTTATTTCCTCCAAGGTAAATGGGCCTAAATAATCTGGAATCAGATACTTTATCTTCCAGAATAGTTAAACCTCACACTAGCGAGTGTAAAAGATTAGCCGATTAACTTTCTCTTTTTGTGCAAAGAGTCTCTTTTCCATTTTAAGGACATCTAAGCACCCATCGCTCCATCCTTACAGAATATCTGGTTGCATCCTATATTTTTTTATAAAACAGAATATTATTTATGGTTAAATTCAACTTCCTTTTTTATATAGATAGAAAAGGAATCATTTCTAGTCTTCAATGCTGCAAAGATAAATGCCAAATGGGCAGGTGGATATTTGGTGAATGATAAAATGGTGAATGATATTCATCAGCTACTCATGAATGGAGAAAAAGCAATTTATGAATGAATGAATGAATGAATGAATGAATGAATGAATGAATGAATGACGCAGGACTTGCTCCAAGCCCTCTCCACTCACCCCACTCACGATGTAGACGAAGTAAGGGAGGAGAGCTGCAATCTTTGAATTGGTCTGTAAATCCTGGAGAGCAACCTAGGCAGGAAGGGGAGAGAAGGGTTCAGCTCAGACAGTCACTTGTCTGAAATGGTATAGGTTCTCCTGCTCGAGCAGGGGGCTGGACTAGAAGACCTCCAAGGTCCCTTCCAGCTTCTATTCCATTCCATTCCATTCCATTCTCACCCATTCTCTATTCTATTCTATTCTATTCTATTCTATTCTATTCTATTCTATTCTATTCTATTCTATTCTATTCTATTCTATTCTATTCTATTCTATTCTATTCTATTCCATTCTCACCCATTCTCTATTCTATTCTATTCCATTCCATTCTCACCCCCTATTCTATTCTATTCTATTCTATTCTATTCTATTCTATTCTATTCTATTCTATTCTATTCTATTCTATTCTATTCTTCTATTCTATTCCATTCCATTCCATTCCATTCTCACCCATTCTCTATTCTATTCTATTCTATTCTATTCTATTCTATTCTATTCTATTCTATTCCATTCCATTTCCATTCTCACCCATTCTCTATTCTATTCTATTCTATTCTATTCTATTCTATTCTATTCTATTCTATTCTATTCTATTCTATTCCATTCCATTCCATTCCACTCCATTCCATTCTCACCCATTCTCTATTCTATTCTATTCCATTCCATTCTCACCCATTCTCTATTCTATTCTATTCTATTCTATTCCATTCCATTCTCACCCATTCTCTATTCTATTCTATTCTATTCTATTCTATTCTATTCTATTCTATTCTATTCTATTCCATTCCATTCCATTCCATTCTCACCCATTCTCTATTCCTATTCCTATTCTATTCTATTCTATTCTATTCTATTCTATTCTATTCTATTCTATTCTATTCTATTCTATTCTATTCTATTCTACTCTACTCTACTCTACTCTACTCTACTCCACTCCACTCCACTCCACTCCACTCCACTCCACCCCATCCCATCCCATCCCATCCCATCCCATCCCATCCCATCCCATTGGTGTTGGCCAACATTTCTTCTAGAACTGAACATGTCGTGGGTGATTCCCCCGAATGGCTTTCCAGTAAGAGGTGGGATCAGCCACAGGGAACAATTTGAGGGTTCTTCCTTGCCCCCCGTCTGCAAATCCCTTTGTTTGCCTCCGAATCCTGTCCTCTCGTATCAGCAGAGCCTCTTCTCTGGACTCACCTTCATCAGCTGAGGGTCATCGCCCAGTACGGCTCGAGTCACATGCTGGTAGTACTTCAACAGGTCGTCTGTCAGCACGGAGACGGCACTGGGCACTGGAAACAGAAATGAAGAGGTGGTCTTGCAACCCGAAAAAGGAAGTGATAAGGTAAGGTGGGAAACCAATAGATTCTACCAGTTGAATTACAGTTCCCAGGATCCCCCATCCCTTCTCAGAAGGAGTTGCCAAGAAATATTCTCAGATTCTCCATTTGTGCAGTAAAGCATTCACTGCACACCTGAGATATGCCAATTTAATACATCTGGTCACTAGTTTTTCAACCTAAGCAACTTTAGGATGTGAGGACTTCAACTCCCAGAATTCCCCAGCCAGCGTGCTTTAAGATGGGTGGACTTGAATTCCCAGAATTCCTCAGCCACTATGTTTCAAAATGGGTGCACTTTAACTCCCAGAATTCCCTAGTGAGCCCAATTCTGGGAGGTGAAGTCCACACATCCTGAAGTTGCCCTAGATTGAGAAACAGTCCAATACGCTGACCTCAGATGAACGAAGTAAACAAATCACAATTGTGTCATTCAGACTTTGCAAAATAAATACGCAATCCTGGATTGTGCTGCCTTGTTTCAAGAAATGCAATCAAACCTGCATCACCAGTCCTTACCTGAGCCTTGAGCCTCAAGGTTGCCTTTCCCGTCCAGGTAAGAGACGTGAACTGGAAGAGAAAAGAGAATCGGTGGCCGGGAGGTTAGTAAAAACCTCTGAGCGTCTGAGTGGAGAGTGGGGGGAGGTCTGATCCTTGGATGAGACGCTGTTGTGATTCCGTGCCAGCCTATGCTCCCCACAGCTGAGTCGGAGGAATCTGAGGAGGAGGTGGAGGAGGCATTTGAAGGGCCATCAGAGCCAGAGGGAGGCTCTGAAGTACAGGACTCACAGTTGGATGCAGAGCCTGGGCCCTCCAGTCGTGTTCCTGATGAAGCTCAGCTGTGTGAGGAGCATGAGTCAGACTTGGAGGAATCACAACAGACGGACTTGCTAATTGACGCACGCAGACGGCGTCAATTTGCCAGAGTAAGGCAACAGAGGTCAATGAGGCACCTCCAAAGTAAGAAGAAATGGCAAGGAGAGGCACCACCTCAGGACTGCTAAATAAAGGGAGGAGGTGTGGGTGGTGCTGGTTGCTGAAGGCAACCGTTTGAAAACTGCGTCGTGGAATCTTGGTCTGTGACTTCTCTTGTGACTTCGTCTCTGCTTTTCATCGTGTTCTTTTGGACTTGAGTTTGCTGTATTTGACAGGTTTGTCAACAAAATTAAAAGGGGTTTTTGTTTTTGTTTGCAAGTCTCCAGCCTATTGTAGTAGCAGGGGTTTTGTCCTTGTGAAGATAACAAGGACGACAATAGGCTGGAACAGAACAGACGCATTCAAAGATTGCCCAGCAGGCGATGGGGACCCCTGGCCCATCAAACCCTTTTCACTGTACAGCAGGGGTGTCCAATCTTGGCAACTTTAAGACTGGCAGACTTCAACTCCCAGAATTCCCCAGCCAGCGCGCTAAGCAAATCCCTGCAGTTATTAACAGCTTCCCCTGCTGACGTCGCTTATCCGGAACTGGCCGGGTCAGAAATTCATAAAAACGCCAGTTGCCCAGCGCCCAGATGTTGATCATTTGACCAGGGGAGATTGCGACGGTGATAAGCGTGAGGACCACTTATCCCTTCTTTCAGTGGTAACTCTGAACGGTTTTCTGTTATTTTCATTTTCTTCGTATTTTATATTCTGATAAACTAATAAAAAAAATTTAAATGGTAACTCTGAACAGTCGCTAAGTGAATGCTTGTTAGTCGACGATTTCTGGATTTATCAGCAGCCCAGAGATACTTTGCTAGCTTTCTGTTCCAGGGCCTGAAACGCCCAAGTAACGAGAGACACCTGGAGCTGCGATCTAAACTCGACAAAGGGGAAGGCGAGGCCCTGCCACACCAGGAAGGCAGCTCCCCAGTCAGGAAGTGGCCTGGTGGCCTCTGCCCCCCCCCCCCGGCCTACCTCTCACGGCCGTCTCCGCACAGCCCTTGGGGATGCTGGTGGCCAGCGCCAGCTCCACCAGGTTGACTTCGCGGTCTTCCTGGAAGAAGAGTTCTCCTTCCTTAATGGCTCGGAAGGGAAGGGGGTCCGCTGAGCCATGGCCACACACCACCTGCAACAGCAACAGCCACACACTCAGCCCTGCTCCGACTCAGGGGTCTCCGGCCTGGGCCACTTTACGACTTGTGGACTTCAACACCCAGGATTCCTCGGCCAACGAGGCGTAAAGCGGCCAGAGTCGGAGGCCCTGCTCCAGGTGACTCTTGGTTAGCCTGGCATCGATGGGATTTTACTGCCTAGACAGGTAGCCTCAACCTACAACCACAACTGAGCCCCAAATTTCGGTTGCTAAGAGAGACAGTTGTTAACTCAGTGGTTCTCAACTTGTGGGTCGGGACCCCATTTGGGGTCGAACGACCATTTCACGGGGGTCGCCAAACAAAGCAGTCCGCCATTTTTTCCCCCTTTTCCTTAGCTGTGCTACTCCCTTTTATTCTATTGGCTTTTGAAAGCCAATAGAATAGACTCTATTGGCTTTCAAAAGCCAACAGGAATTGTCCAGGCTGTCTCTGCCCTGCTGAGCCCGCCAAAAGTCCCATTCTGCCAACGGTGTTGCACCAGTTGAGTAGTCCCCGACTTACGACCGGTTGAGTAGTCCTCGACTTACGACCGGTTGGGGGGTCACAGCATTAAAAAGGTTGAGAACCACTGTGTTAACTGAACTTTGCCCCATTTTACGACCTTCGTTGCCACAGTTGTTCACTGCAGTTGTTAAGTTAGGGACATGGTGATTAAGTGCATTTGCCTTCCCCATTGTCTTTGCTTGCCTGGAGGTCACAAAAGGGGATCACGTGACACCCCCCCCCCAGAATCAGTGGTGGGATTCAGCCAGTTTGCACGGGTTTGGCAGAACCGATGCCTAATATTTTGTTCAGCTCGGTGAACCGGTTATGATAAATCTGTGTTTTCTGGAACTCTTTCTTATAACATAATCTAGTTTTGTGTATCTCTCTTATTATTGTTCTTATTTAAATATTAAATGCATGAAATAATAAACTACCTTTCGGTATATCATTTCCTTACACTTGAAACGGTCATTAGGGCAGAGAACCGGTTAAATTATTTGAACCCCACCACTGCCCGGAACACTGCAACCGTCATAAATGTGAGTCAGTTGCCCAGTGGCTGAATTTCGATCACATGACCTGGGGGATGCTGCAACAGTTGTGTGAAAAAGGCTCAGTTTTTTTCACTGCCTTGTAACTTCGAATAGTCACTAAACAAACTGTTGTCAGTTGAGACCTATCTGTCTCTGTGTCTCTGACTAGGGCAGAATGCAAGTTGGAGTCTGTATGGAAACACTCACACCCGGGGCTCAACTCACTTCCACGTTGCTCCATCGGAGAGCCCGGTTGAAATCTTCCACCATCAGCTTCCGCCGTTTGGTGTGTTTCATGAACTGGGAACTGTTCTACAGAAAGGGGGGGAAGAAGGAGTCGGACGTAAACACACAGCCCCCCACCGAACAGGCTCCCGGGTCAAGCACTGCGCAATGGCCATGAGCTCCTGGCTTCCAGGTGTGCTGATGAGCAATCAGAAACCAATCACTGGAGGGGAGGGGGCAGCGATCCTCCAAGCTACGATAGTCACGACACCCCCCACCCCAAGATGTGCCATCTTCCCTCCCCTTCTGGCTTTTAGGAGATGGCCTTGCAGCGAGATGGGCACCTTTTCATTCCATTCCACAATCCCTTCCTTTTTTTTATCAAGCTCTGAGGGAAGGGAAAACGTAGGTAAATCAGTCTTGACAGTAACTTCAAATGGTCATTAAGCAGCCGGCCATAAATCGAGGACTACCTGCACAGCTCCAAGGTCCCTCCCAAACCAACTCCATCCTAGACTGCGTCCCTCACCTGGGTTGCTTCTCGCAGACGATAGCAGACGTCTTCAGCCAGCAGAGCGGCCACCTCATCGGTCAGCTCCACACCCGCACTTTCAGCCATCAGCCGGATCGACTCTCGCGGGATTTCCACAAAGCGCCGTTCTTCCCGTTCAGACATGGCGTTGGCCCTGGGATGAAAAAGGAAACCCCACAGGTGTCACACAAAATAGAGGCAGGAAACTGCTTTTTAAAAAAGGCCTTGGGAAGGCCACACCTGGAATAACTGCCTGCCCAGTTTTGATCACATTACAAAAAAAAATGTTGAGACATTGGAAAAAGTGCAGAGAAGAGCAAGAAAGATGATGAGAGGATTGGAGGCTAAAACACATAAGGAACGGCTGCTGGAATTGGGTCTGTCTAGTTTAATGAAGAGAAGGGCGAGGGGGGACATGATAGCAGTGTTCCAATATCTCAGGGGCTGCCACAGAGAAGAGGGAATCAAGCTATTCTCCAAAGCACCTGAAGGCAGGACAAGAAGCAACGGATGTAAAACTAACCAAAGAGAGAAGCAACCTAGAACTAAGGAGAAACTTCCTGACAGAACAATTAAACAGTGGAACAACCTGCCTCCAGAAGTGGTAAATGCTCCAACAATGGAAGTTTTTAAGAAGAGACTGGACAGCCATTTGTCCGAAATGGTATAAGGTTTCCTGCCTGAGCAGGGGGTTGGACCAGATAACTTACAATGTCCCTTCTAACCTGTTAAGGGGGTCCTAAAATCACTCTGTGGGAAAGATTGGCTGGGTGCCACAACGTAATCCTCACATTCATGCAAAACAATGTAGAGTTCTCATTCTTGGCTACACTGTTCTGGACATCTGGTGACCAATGGGCTACAGCACTCAGGGCCCTTGGCTGAGCAACCAAAAGCTGCAGAACTACTGGAAGAAATGGTGTTTACCTCTCACAGATGCACAAAGAGTGAAAAGGAAAGCTTCCATCCCATGAACATACTTTTAACGCAATCACACAACATCTGCCTATCCCAAGTCCTTGGGAAGGGTTTGATAGATGGATAAAAATGCCAAATCTAGTCAGAACATCTGGCTGACTCCACAACCGACCGCAGTACAGGTAGTCCTCAACTGACAATCATAACTGGGATCATTGCTAAGGAAGGCAGTCGTTAAATGAGTCACATCTGACTTTATGACCTTTTTTGCCCTGGCTGTTAGGTGAATCACTGTGGCTGTTGAGCAAATTCGCCTCCCCCCCCCCAATTGACTTTGTTTATTGGAAGCTGGATGGGAAGGTCACAAATGGCAAGCAAGGGATTCTGAGACCCTGCGACCGTCGTAAAGACACGCCAGTTGCAAGTGCCCAAATTTTGATCCCACGATGGTGGGAATGCTGAAATGGTCCCAAGTACAAGAACTGGTTGTAAGTGACCTTTTCCAGTGCCACTGTAACTTCAAAGAGTCACTAAACGAACGGCTGTAATCTGAGGACACTTCTCAGCCGCACATCTCAATACATTTCAGAGGAAAACCCTTCTACGCCACTGGATCCCCAAATGCCCCTCCCAAAGACAGAGAGAGGGGGAGACAAAAAGGTAGAAGGAGAGAAAGAACAAGAGAGAGAGAATGAGAGAAAGAAAGAAAGGAAAAAGAAAGAGGAAAGAAAGAAAGAATAGAATAGAATAGAATAGAATAGAATAGAATAGAATATTCTTTATTGGCCAAGTATGATTACCAGTGTTTCTCAACCTTGACAATTTTAAGGCATGTGGACTTCAATTCCCAGAATTCCACAGCAATGCTGGCTGTGGAATTCTGGGAGTTGAAGTCCACATGCCTTAAAATTGTCAAGGTTGAGAAACACTGGATTAGACAGACAAGCTCTCATTGTACATCCAAAGCAACAAGTGACAGGTAGAAAGAGAGAAAGAAAGGAAAGACTGGATGAAAGACTGAATGCTGGAGAGGGGAGACCCCCCCCAAATGCAACAGGGGCTCCTTCCAGGGGAAGCGCGATCCTGGCGCAAAGTCTGAAAAAGGGCAGCAATTTGGGTTGGGGGGCCCGGAAAGAGGCGCCACTCACCCGCCCCTCCTTCAGCCCCGTCCGGGCGGCTCCAGCAGCAGCAGCAGCAGCGCGGAGGGCTCGCTGATCCCCGCGCTCCGATTGGCCGCCTTGTGGCAGCCTTACGACCACGTGATCGGGTGAGGGCAGAAGCCGCCTCTGCCAAAAGGCTGTCACGTGACAGCTCCTTAAAGGGGCAGCGCGCTCCTCGCTAGGCTATTCGTGTAGGCCACAGTGTCTCACCCGCACCCACTTTAAGATGGCTGGGGCATTCTGGGAGTTGAAGTCCACCCATCTTAAAGTTGCCGATGGGGAAGATCGGTAAAAACAAAGCATTTTTCGCCGTCCACCCGTCTTCCCAAGTAGACTTTTGCATTTAGAATCATTTTAATCGAGACACCTCCTCCCCTTCTGCCCCCCCCCCTTCTCCTCTTCTCACCAGGCCTGGGGCAGAAACTGGACAGGCTCCAAAGGCCATGGAGACTCCTCCGGACGCCTAGAACGCCGCCAGGGCCGTAGAGAAGGCGAGGCCGCCGGAAATCCAGAGCGCCCTTGCGCCTCGGTGCTTTCGCGCGCTCGGCGGGCCTTGAAGCCGCCGCCCCCGCGACCCGGAAGTAGACTCGCGGCGGCGCGGAGCGACGGTTGAGGCGCGAGCAGGTGAGAGTCCGGAGGGGGCGGCGGGACTGTCGCGGCCGCCGGGGGAGGGGGCGCGTCCGCGGGGTCAGAGGTCGAGGAGGAAGTGGGGGAGGAAGGGCCCGGGCGCGGGAGGCCGAGCTCGTCGCTAAACGAGGAGGGGGAAGAAATCACGTCGACGGGTTCTGGGGTCTTCCAGGGAAACCGCCCGACCCTGGAAACAGCCGCCGCTAAAAAGTAATTTTATAGTAAGCTGTCAGATAATAGTATACAATTGTGTGCGATGTCTCTTGTGTGCTTATGTTTATGTAATTGTTATATTTATTTGCCGCCTAACTTGCCGCGGGACTGCTGGGGGCGAAGTGAAAACTAAACAGAAATAAAATAATAGAACAATAAAATCAACAATGCAAAAGAAAATAAGAATACATCAGTATGATAACAAAAAGATGGAGGGCACAATATGTATGTATAATATATAATTAGCATGTGTGTGTGTGTGTGTCCGTATATATACATACACAATATCTGAGTATGCGTATATAATATGTGGGCGTATAATTTGTGCATGTGTGTGTGTAGAACTATGCATATATGATATATATATAATTAACATAATTATGTGTATAATGATAATTGTGTAATGATAATTGTGTATAATGATGTGTATAATGATAATTGTGTAATATATATAATTGTGTGGGTGATTGTATGTATGTGGATATATGTGTTTCTGTCTCTCTATAAAACTGTGTGTGGTGAGTGTGTGTGTGTGTGGTTGCAGGTTGGGTAGGCTGTTTCAGCTATTTCTGGTTTGTAGAGCCTCTTTCCAAAAGATAAAGGGAACAATCTTTGCAAGAGAAGCTGCCTCCCTGGGGAGGGGGGTGGTGGAGGAAAGCCCCAGACCCCTGCAAGGACTGGGGGGGAGCCGGAGGGTGCCCTGTCCTGTGCCCTGGGAGGCAAGCTCCAAAAGTCACAGGAGCCACATTGCTCTGCAGTCCAGCTGTTAGAGAACTGGGTGCGGCATTTGGGGCCCTTTGAAGCGTCTGGTTGCCTCCAAAGGCTGCCCCGGCCCTAGCCCAATACTTGAACTTGACTTTCTGGAGACTTTCCACAAGGGTTATGTAATTGACCATCGCTGTGATGGTTGTCATTGAAGTCACTTATGTCCACCTTTATTCTTGAAGGGAGACATAAGCTTAATACTTCTTCAATATCTTCATAAACGACTCAGACGAGGGAATTGAAGGGGAGCTCATAAAATGTGCAGATGACACCAAGCTGGCAGGAGTAGCCAACACCCCAGAAGACAAACTCAGGGTCTAAAAACATCTTTTTTTTTTTGTAAAAATTTTTATTTTCAATTTTACAATACATAACAATCTTACAAATACTTCAGAAAAAAAAATAAAACAAATTGATATATACCACATTCGGTCTTGCCCGCCCATTTCCCCCCAAACCGCATCCCACCTCAAACCAACTTACATCTTTCCCTCTTTTTCTTCACTCACCCCCTCTCCTCCTTCACCTCCACCTTCCTACTTACTTCTCACCTTCTTCTTCTCCCTCTTGATGCGGTCCAGGGGAAATGCCCGAGCAGTTCCTCTCTCAAAATTAAAACGTTAATATTATATACAATAAGACTATTTCTACTTTATCTGAACTACTTAAACTTCAACCCATCCACTCCCCCACCCCCCTCCCCCACCCCCCGACTTCCCAGAGCAAAATACAGGATTATGCAAACATATTAAACATAATCTATTTAAGTTTACTAATTATACAATGAACAAAATCATAAAAACCCTTACCTCTCTTCAAACTTTAACATCATAAGTTTATAAACAAAATCATTACTCATAGAATAAGTGAAACTTTGTAGTTCCATATTTCTTCTGAACATATTCTATCCATCTTCTCCATACGTTAAAATATCTCTCTTGTGTATGGTCCTTTAAATAAGCAGAAATTTTAGCCATTTCTGCTAAATTAGAAACCTTAAATACCCATTCTTCTAAAGAAGGCAGAGTATCCTTCTTCCAATATTGACCCACCAGTAATCTTGCTGCTGTTATTAAATTCAACATTAAAATAGTTTCTTTAACATTAAAATCTACAAAAATTTCCAAAAGAAACAGTTGGGGAGTAAGAGCCAAGGTGGCGTAGCACTTAGGGTGCAGTACTGCAGGCCACTTTAGCTGACTGTGTTCAGCAGGTCAGCGGTTCAAATCTCACCGGCTCAAGGTTGACTCAGCCTTCCATCCTTCCGGGGTAGGTAAAATGAGGACCCAGATTGTTGGGGGCAATGTAAATATATATATACACATTGCTTACTGGTGTACACCGCTTAGAGAGTGCTTGCACTTAAGCTTGCACTTAAAGCGTTATATAAGTCTCACAAATAAATAAATAAATAAACTTAATCTTCCTCTTAAAAATCTTTTGAATGTTCCACCAAATCATAATCCAGAAGGCTTTAATAACTTTACAAGTCCACCAAACATGAAAATAGGTTGCATCCAAGCAACCAAGGGTCTAAATACATCTTGACAAACTTGAACAATGGGCCCTGTCCAACAAAATGACTTCCTACATTTAGGCAGGAAAAACCAAAGGTACAAGTACAGACTGGGCAAGATCTGGCTTAAAAACAGTAACTGTGAGAGGGACCTTGGACTCCTAGTGGATGATCACTTCACCATGAGCCAGGAGTGTACAGCAGCAGCCAAAAAAGCTAATACAATCCTGGGTTGTATAAACAGAGGCATAGAATCAAGATCACGCAAAGTATTATTACCGCTTTATAAAACCCTAGTAAGACCACACCTGGAATGCTGCAGCCAATTTTGGTCACCATATCACAAAAACAGTGTTGAGAGTTTGGAGAAAATTCAGAGAAGAGCAACTAAAATGATCCAAGGTCTGGAGACTAAAACATACAAAGAACGGTGGTGAGACTTGGATTTGGCTAGTCTAAAGAAAAGAAGAAACGGGAGACATGATAGCAGCATTCCAGTATTTGAAGGGCTGTCACATAGAAGAGGGGGTCACGTTCACCAAAGCACCAGAGAGCAGAACAAGAAACAATGGTTGGAAACTGACCAAAGAGAGAAGCAACCTGGAATTAAGGAGAAACTTTCTGACAGTGAGGACAATTAACCAGTGGAACAGAAGTTGCCTCTAGAAATTGTGGGCACTCCATCACTGGAGATTTTTAAGAAGAGGCTAGAAAGTCACTTGTCTTGAGATGGCATAGGTTCTGCTTAAGCAGGGGGCTGGACTAGAAGACCTCCAAGGTCCCTTCCAGCTCTTTTCTATTCCTTTAACAATAGTCTAATCTGTGTAGTTTTTACTGCCTTAATGTCTTAATTACTTTTTACTTGTTTCATAGCTTGTAAGCCACCCAGAGTCAGCTTGTGCACCAGATAGATGGCATAAAATGTTAATAAAATAAATAAAAAATAAAAATGAATGAATGAAATAAAAAATACTTGTAAGATGAATAAAAGCAAGAGGAAGCAAAGCCAACTCAGGAGGGATGGCCAGAGGCAGGTCTTTGCATCTAACCGATATTTGATTTAACTGGTTTGGCCCTGGAGGCAAAGCTGCACTTTGGCCGTTAATAAAAAGCATTTGTGATTGTGTTTGCCTGTGGGAAGAAAAACATTCAGCCACAATAGCGCAGAGCAGGGGGTGCAACTATGGCCCCTTTCTGACCGGTGGGCTTTTTTCAGGCTCGTAGGCCAGCCCCATGGCTGGATTAAGGATTGTCCCACGGCTTGGGTTTTCTGCCCTTCCCACCAAAGTTTTGCAGTACACTGGTAGTCCTCGTCCTGTGGCCATAATGGAGCCTTCCCATTACAGTCGTATGTCATAACAAGTGGTCATTCGGGTTTTCTGACCTTGTTTTGCAGTGCTTGTTAAGCAAATCTAAAGCTGGGGGTGCGGTTTTGCCAAAAACCAGAAATATATGTACTAGTCCTCGCCTTGTGGCTACAAATGAGCCCAAAATTTTGTTGCTAAGTGAGACCGCTGTTAAGTGAATTTTGCCCGTTTTACGACCTGTCTTGCTGCAGTTGGTTGTTAAGTGAATCTGTCAGCTGCCACTTTGTGCTTTACTACCATGTGGTGACAGTCTGCCATGAACTATGGGGAAGGGAGATGCTTGGGGGGGGAAAGTGAGAGTAAGTGCTATAAACATACACCCCCCCTCCCTTGCTGTATCTCCCCAGAATCCTGCTTCAAGGTCACCCAGCTGGGAGAAGAAGGCAGCTGCATACCAACCTAGCCTTGAAGGGACCCTTTTCTCAATAAATGGAGCCGTGGATCTTCCCTTTTAGAGGTTTAAATGCTGGCAGGTCTGACAGTCCAGCTTCCCCAATGATTTTCCTTGTCAGAAGTTCACCGGGGGGGGGGGTTTCACATGACTCCGGGACACCGCAACCCTCATAAATACACATCCGTTGCTAAGCGTCCAAATTTGGATCGCGTGACCGCAAGGAGGCTACAACGGTCTTAAGTGTGGAAAAACGGTCAGAAGTCACTTTTCTCCGTGCCTTTGTAACCTGGTACGGTCACTAAACGAACTGTTGTAAGTTAAGGACTACCTGCAAGTGCCAGTTTTTGACAACACTGTTTTAGAGCATGGTCACGTGACTGCAGAACAGTGTAAATCGCCTTAAATGCCCCCGTGTTCCGGAGTTCACAGGACCGTGGAGGTTTCCCAACCATTGGAACTTTGAATCTTGGTTGTAGGTCCCCTTTTCTGGGCCAGTTGTAGTTTGTAACGGCCGCTAAGCACCGATCATAAGTTGAGGAGTGCCCTGTTGATCACTCTTGCCCTTAAAGGGGTGCGCTGCCCTTTAAATAGAAATCGCCCAGTGGGGTTTGGAAAGCAGCCGAACTGGCCTTATAGTAATCCACAACA